AACAACCTCTATACAACGAAAGGAGACTGCGACCACACAAAAAGCCACACCATCTTGGTCTTCATACCTTAGTTTTTGCAATGCTTATCGGGGACAAGAAAATTAACCCAAAGAACAAGACAATGCAGTATTAGAGTTATAAACATGCTTCAAAAACAGAGGTACATACCGCACGCATAAGAGCTAATATCGTCTCCATACTGCCCAGTCGACTGTCAGATATTTTGATACTGACCAGTTGGGCTCCTGGAGCAACACCATTTCGCCGAACAAATTCCCCTGTTGATGAGTGATTAGATTCAACGTTGTTTAATGGCCGGTGTTTAGGTCGTTGACGAATTGGCAGACGAAAAGGCTGTTTGCCTTCTTCTGTCGGTGACCTGAGACATGGAGATTTGGCAGGGCTTGGGCTGGCGGAAAGTGGAGTAAGAGTGGAAACCAAGCCTGAGGCAAGCAAACCAGTATCATCTGCGCTGCCGTTAGCATCAGCGACACCAGGACACACAGAAGAAATGGATGAATTTTGTCTTGGAGTCGATATCGTTTGAAGCTCAGGACAGTCGTAACATGCCGCGGCGATCCCTGCAACATGGGTGCCATGACTACTGTTGTTGGTGACTATTTGAAGAACACGACCTTCATCGAAGATTTTTACCGTATAAAAAAGCATAGCTATCAAGAAGAAAAAAATGTATTAAGATGTGAAACCTAGAGAATAAATATCAATAAAATATGCGCGAAGCATTTTAGAGATCTGATGGATGTAATAGTAGGTAGGTACCATAAGTTATGGAGGCCACGATTATGTGGTCTTTAGTTTAGTCGTAGTCTCCATTCTTTGTATAGAAATTGTTTGCCTTCTTGGAAATACGACCAAGTTGGAAAAACAAGGTCAAACAACTTCTAGTAAATAAGTACGTTTGAAAAGCAGCAATAGAGTGAAAATTCCAATAGGAATGGTGAGGGACCGCTTGTCCACTATTGCACAATTTAACACTATTAACCAATTCACGTGAAATGTGGTCAAGATTTCATCGGAAGTTATTATAAAAGGCCTGGTGTCGATGATGAAGGATATATTCACAATTAATTTTGGAAGAAAAAGCAGTCCTTTAGTTAAATTGGAAAGTACCTTATAGAGCAAAAGTTAAGGACGCAAACACAGGTGGCATACAGAAAACTTTGCAATCCTAGAAGAAATGAAGGATGCAACTATCATACTATAAGTGATAACACCTCAAAATTATAAGTTGCATTACCCGTTGGGTGTGGCAAGAGGGTTGTGGGCCGTTCAAGGCGAGTTAGGAACTCATAGTTGAATCTATCTCCAATGAAATGATAAGGCCTCACGATGTCATCGAATT